ACACAGTTCTGAAGGCGTTCGAAAATAATGCTGACGTCAGCACTTTTGTTTTTCAAGACGCTGTAACTAGTCAGGAGGAATTAATCATATTGATTCAAAATTTTTGGTGAACACTTGTAATAATGATATAAACAACATATAAAACTTCCAGTATGGAGTTATATTGTTTGTTACTTACCGTCAAAATGAGAAAGATACATCACTTTTGTAATAAAATATGTTGTCAGACGTTCATGTTTATAAACAGTCGCATTGGCTACAATCGGAAAATATTGTGATGTTCCGGTATATTCCGGGAAAATGTCGTGATATTCCGTCATATTCCGCCATATTCCGTGATATTCCGCCATATTCCGTGATATTCCGCCATATTCCGTGATATTCCGGCATTCCGGGTTTTCACAACGCCCTATTTAAAACACTCGTGTGTTTGAAATAATACGTTATTACATGTTGGAATAATATAGTAATATTTAAATAAGTTTTAGTATATAAATTTGTATTTTGTAATATAAGCATGCATGCACTCCTCGTTTGGAAATCAGCTGTAAGTTGATCGTGAGGAACAAAATAATGAATATATATTTCATCATACTAAGACAATACACATTTAATCAAATAACAGGAGATAACAATAAACAAATCCTACCGCACCTACTTGTACAATAAGCAGAGTAACAGAATTGAGGTGGCTTTAACTGATACAGAAAAAAACTTCCACAGTTTATCACTTTGATGTTATATTGATAGCCGCATTCAGTCCAATTCGACCACGACCATCCGTTCGCACATGCAATCCTGTCCACTTCTACACCAATTGTAGTTGGATGTGTCCCATTCATCCATATCGGGGCATGAGTTCCACAACTATTTATCCCTGGGTTAAACTCGGGTATGTTATTGCCAGCCGCGCTTTTAAACCTGTACCATGACCCATCCTGGATCAAATGATAATCGCACAAATAATCAGTAGCATTGTACGTTGTACTGCGTCGGATATCACTGATCGTGGTATACTTTATATTGCTACACTGTGCATCAAGAGCAGTTATACAGTACAGAACAAGGAAGCAAAGGAGCACAACTGTTGACGCCATGATTACGGAATGCCAACTAAGAATTGTTTTGATCATGCAGTGTTTAATTTATATCTAAGTTTGACCTTTTGTTGAGTTCGACGTTTAATTATTAAATCGGCATGGGGTCAAGGCTCAGAAATACTTATGTTATGCTGCAGTATTATTTCAAGTTTAAATTCCCAGTTTTGGCGACGTACACTGTATCTCCCTAGTAACTAGTAGGGCCTTGAATACTATACAAACCATGGCCACGTTAAATAACTGATACAGAAAAAAATTTCCACAGTTTATCACTTTGATGTTTATCCTTTCCGGAGTATCCGCTAATAGGCCCACGAAGAGGCTTTACGAAGGCCAATAACGTGGTTTGTATGGTATCTAAGGCTGTGATTGTATAGTATTTAATAAATACAAACCACGTTATTGGCCTTCGTAAAGCCTCTTCGTGGGCCTATTAGCGGATACTCCGGAAAGGATACAAATGTACAATCTATAAGCGGAAGTAGAACTTACTACTCATATCTACCAGTTAAAGGCTTCAGTGAAACAGTCTATTACTGAATTGGCTATTACGGAATAATATAAGTATGTTTATATATAGTTATATAGGCTATATATGCACGTCTGGGCCTATCTTTGCAAATTCAGATAATTTTCTTGTCTTATCTATACCCGAATAATATATAACCATATTAGACTAGTCCGTAAAGGATAGTACATAGCTTTAATATCTTGTAATGAAGATGGCCCAATATAATGCCGAAACATGCATGTATCAACGTTGAAATACGTTTGAACTATATGCATGCATATGCCCTATGGCAGTATATTCACTGTCGGATTATCTCTCAATGTGAGACGTAAACTTAGCGATTATATTGTGATATGATGGACTAATGAAAATGGGTATTTTATAAAGAACAATGCTAAATTTGCCTTAAATATTTACAATATTTTGATATTCGTAATTGCATGCTTGTCTTCCTTTCTTACAGCAAACTATTTTAGACATTTGAAATTTTAATCTTATCAAAAACATAAACGCACTCAAACAGGAACTTCACGTCCATCAAACAGACAAAAAACAGGAACTTGGACGACCATGAACAACGTAACTGTAACAATAAACAGGAAGTTGAGCATACCTGCATATGACATACATTAATCAATCTCTGAAGCTTTTGTGTTGTAAATGTGTGTGTGGTTTAAAAGTTATTTACTGAGCTCTTTTTTATTCAAATTAATTAAACTAAGGCTTCCTATTATTTAATCCCTCCCATTTTAACGAATTTGTTCTCGTGGTATCATTTGGGTCATATGGAGATGAGTGGTCAAACGTTAATGATTACAAGACATCAGCGCAATCATAGAGAGCGGTCATAAAGTGTGTGTTATGGAGGAGGGGATGAGGGAGCCTATTTGAGTGGGGGTATGAAACAATAATATTTTTGAAGGAGGGGTTAAGCATACAGTACCATACCAGAAACCATTATTGAAGGCAATATTTAAAAATAGATGCATTTCTCATCGTAGAAAATTTCATACAAGAAATAATGAAAATACAGACAAAAATTTAAAAACCTATCCCCTTCGATTTCCTTACTGAATGGTCACATGAGAATCACTTTTCACCTGTTTGCTTATAGACAGTAGTGTGATCAAACCACACTTCAATGTTCTTAGCCGATCATGTCGATCAATCAGTTCTATGCCGGAGTAAATACTCTGTAATTTGAATTAAGTAGGCTATGGAATAAAGTGAGAATTAGAAGTAATGTCAATGTTTGTTTTTGACAGGCAAAGACAGATATAATTAAATGCCGTAGGAGTGGAGAGTGGCAAGTGCGGCTATCATTGCTGCATGTTATAGACATTTTTATATCTGTTATTACTATTAAAATGTCGGGCAACAGATGGGTTTGCATCGTTGCCAATGACAGCACGCTGATATGATGCTCACCAAAACTTAATTGTTCTCAGAAATCTTCCAGTTTCCCCAATACAATATAAAACATGCCACATGCACTGCATGAGATGGAGTACATGAGATGGAAGGAAGAAGTACACGTGAAATGGTGCTTGGAATGGTTCTTACATTCTGGATAACGGTTAATAAGACTAAGTTCTTTGTAGGATCGCATGCATGCGATAAAACATGTAATACTGTTTGCTTATGGAAACACCACGTAAATTTATTAGTGCAAAGCTTTCGAATTCGTAAGCCTGGATTTTGATCAGTTCTAATAATATATGACTTGTTTAATTTCAGTATGAAAGGGCGTGTGTTTTAGAATTTAGTTGCCTTAGTTAAATATATTGTTTAGTAAGTATAAACAAGGGGGAATTTCGTTCTCGACCAATCAGCGCATTTGTTACCAATTTCGCTCTTAGCTAATCAGAGTGCATATAGTTGGTTATTGTAGGTAGATTCCCTGCGAGCACAGAAAGCCCACTTCCGGTAAAAACATACATTTGAACAGAAAATTTAAATAAAGCTTCGAGGGGGTCAGGATTTTTAATTTTTTGATTGGATTTAACGTGACAAGGTAAAATAAGAAATTTTCTAAAAATTTGCCGCTGGGATTTGTGTTTTATTGCCTAGTTCTAAAATTATCGGCATTCGAAC